CAATTCAATTAATAAAGGAATGTACCCCTCAGAGTACATGGCTAGCTAGGAATGCTATTTATATCCTTGTACTTCCATCTTATAATCATCTTGTTCTCTTTCAAATTCTCATCAACAAGGTCATCCACAGAGACTTCATTGTCTCCTCCCAGACTTAGCAGATATCTACTTGATCCTTTGGTTATATCAGCAACAGCCAGCATGGAAAGAAAACGATGCCTTGCTCAACTCGGAAGTTGGCGAGTCGCAGCTCCAGCAACCGTCGGCTAACAGAGCTTGCTGCTATGATGCTATCTACCCGCCGTCTACTTCACAGCAGCTTCTGCAGCAAACCGAGTGCTCCCAGTGCTTGGTCGTGTGGCCCCGCCAGCAGAAGCCAAAACAGACGCTGCCGAAGCAGCAGCAGTAGCAGCAGCATCGCCATGGACACCTTTAGCCAAATCCATCGCGTGTTCTGAAGGAGCGTCAGGACCAGCAGTGGCAGTGTCTGTACATGCAACTGAAGCTGAAGCAGGAGCAGCAGGAGCAGACGCGGCAGGAGTAACAGGAGCAGCAGGAGGAGTAGCAGCAGCGGCAGCAGCAGCAGCAGGGGGAGGGGAGGAGAAGGAAAAGCCAGGTTGGTTGGGGTTGGGGGAGGGCCACTTGCCAACCCACTGGCCGAACAGCTCAGAAGAATCTACCCTCGACGCGTGTAGCCCTGCTGCTGCTGTCGCACTCGCATCAGCAGACAAATGCCCCACTGCTCCCGCTCCTCCTGCTACCCCCACTACTCCTGCCCCTCCTCCTGCTGCTGCTGCTCCTGCTGCTGCTGCTCCTGCTGCTGCTGCCGCTGCTATTGCCATTGCACCAGCAGCAGCACCCCTGCCATCGCTGCCATCGCTGCCACCACCAGAGTAACCGCTGCCAAAGACCGGCGGGGTGGTGGTGGAAATGGAGGGGAGAGGCGAGGCGTTGAGAGGCGAGTCGGCGAGATGAAGCAGCTCGGCGGAACTGAGGCGAGCCAGCCTGGCTGCTGCGGCCGCGAGCGCGGACGGCGTGAGCGACTCTCCGAACAGATCCGTCGAGTTCTGCCGCCCGAAGAGGTCGGCCGAGTTCTGCCGCCCGAACAGATCTGCCGAATTCTGCCGGCCGAAGAGCTCGCCAGAGCTCTGGCGGCTGAAGGCGTCGGCAGGGTTGTGCAGGAGAGAGGCGGCGAGGGAGGCGGCGAAGGAAGGGCTGCTGAGATACGCGGCGACTGACGGACTGCCTATGTTGAAAGGGACGTTGCCGTTGCCCATGGTGAACTGGAGATTGAGGCTGGGGCTGCCCATGGGGAAGGGGAGGGGGCCTGAGGGCACTCGGAAGGGGAATGAGGAGGGAGGCGGGTGCGAGGAGGGAAGGGTGGGTTCTGCTGCTGCTGCTGCTGGTTGTGTTTGTGGCTGTGTTTGTGGCTGTGCTGGTGGTGTCTGTAGCATTGGTTCAGAAGCGCCTCCTGCTGTCCCTGCTGCTTCAGTGACCCAATGGTCCAGGGATGACTGCTTGGGAAAGAAGTGACGAGCGCCGGCAGCAGCAGGAACAGCAGCATCAGCATCAGCAGGTGCATCTGCTGCTGTCCCTGCTGCTTCGCTGTTGCTGTGAGGGTTGCTGCTGGCATTGACCCAATCGTCTACCAAGGACGACTGCTTGGGGAAAAAGTGACGGGGGCCGGCAGCAGCAGCGGCAGCATCGTCCCCATCCTCGCCACCATCCGAATCACTACCACCATCATCATCCTCACCATCATCACCATCACCACCGCCACGAGCAGCATCAGCAACAGCAGAGGTAGCAGCAGCAGCAGCAGCAGCAGCAGCAGCAGCAGCAGCAGCAGCAGCAGCAGCAGCAGCAGGCAGCAGCAGCAGCAGCAGCAGCAGCAGCAGCAGCAGGAGGTGCAGCAGCAGCAGCAGGAGGTGCAGCAGCAGCAGCAGGAGGTGCAGCAGCAGCAGCAGGAGGTGCAGCAGGAGCAGCAGCAGCAGGAGGAGGTGCAGCAGCAGCAGCAGGAGGTGCAGCAGCAGCAGCAGCAGCAGCAGGAGGAGGTGCAGCAGCAGCAGCAGGAGGTGCAGCAGCAGCAGCAGCAGGAGGAGGAGGTGCAGCAGACACGCGAGCAGAAGATGCCTGAGCAGCAAGCATATGGGCGACAGAAGCGGCAGCCATGGCTGCTTTCTCCGCCTGTGCGATCACCAGCAGCGGGTCGTCTGCTGCTTCTGTGGCTGGCGGCAGCACCGACGCTGTTGCTCGCTTCAACTCCCAGCGACCCCCTGGAGAGGGAGGGAGAGAAGAATGGGAAGAAGGGGGATTAGGCAATGAAGAATGGGAAGAGCCTCAGGACCCAGCAGCGGGGTGGGAGGAGATGGCTGAGGTCCCCACGCAGATGGTTTGTTGTATTGAAGTAAAACCAGGTGCAACACGAGGGATGGGAGGTGAGAGAGGCAGAGACTCACGGGAGCTAGGCGAGAGCATGCTGAGGGTGGAAGGAGATGGTTGAGGTCCCCATGGAGATGCATTCGCATTAAATTTCGCATTCGCGTTGGCGTCTGAAGCGCCACCACTGGCCGCAGCAACGGCAGCAGCAGAGGCAGAAGCAGCAGAGACGTTTGCAAAACCGTCAGCCCCAGCAGCAGCAGCAGTGGCAGCATCTGCAGCAGAAGATGCAGCAGCAGGAGCACCACCACCACCATCGCCACCACCACCATCGCCACCACCACCATCGCCACCACCACCACCACCACCACCACCACCACCACCACCACCACTGTGAACAGCAGGAGGAGCAGCAGCAGTAGCAGTCGAGAAAGGAGGTTTGATGGGAGGAGGCAAGACAGGGAACGGGAGGCTGGAGGCAGGCGGTGAGGCGAAAAGGGGAGGGTAGGGGCGGTTTGGGCTTGCAGGGAGAAGGAGAGAGGGAGAGCTCTGTTCCCGCTCCCTGGCGGCCTTCTGGAGTGCTGTGGGGGGACATGGCAGAGGGCGGAGAGGGGGGGGGAGTACATTGGGGTTGGGGAAAGGAAAGTGCGTCTTGTGTTGAAGGAACGAGAGGGGGAGATTTCTGTTCCCGCTCCCTGGCGACCTTCTGGCGTGCTGTGGGGAGATATGGCAGAGGGCTGGGCGTGGGAGTTTGGGGTAGAAGGAAGGTTGGGGCATTGAAGATTTGGGTGGCAGGAAGGGATGCTGGGGAAATTGGGGCCTTGGAGATTGGGGCAGGGATGGGTGGAGCAGTGAAATTTGGAAGTATAGAGGGGTAGAGGAAATTGGATTGAGGCGGTTAAGTAACAGCTTTCAGGCGCTTAACAAAATGAGGGAATGTGTCTATGGAGGGGTAGAGGGAATCGAAGTGAGGCAGTTAAGTAAGATGCCCACACGAGAAGATTGATGCATGCAGAGGATAAGGGAATCCAATCAATACCTCATGTCACTCAGTCCGGCCTTGAAACGAGTAGCTGGCGAGGGTTGCACCCCGTATGCATCCCCACTCCTCACTGCTGCTGCTGCGGCTGCTGCAGCTGCCATGGTAGCAGGTGGTCGCACAGGAGGGGACTTGAACGCGCCCCATTTCACAGGCATCAGGCTGCTGTTGCCAGTACCTGTGCCTGTGCCATTCCCATTACCAACATTCTCGCCCTTGCCCATGGTCTCCTGCCACTCCTTATCACCACCGCCCAGTTGACCAGTTTCGTCTGCTTCTGCTGCTTCTGCAGCACCAGCAGCAGCCACAGCCGCTGCCGAATCACCCTTCAGATCAGCCGTTTCCCCCACTACAGCAGCAGCACTGCCCCCACCCGAACTTAAACCGCCAGGGCTAGCCATATTGGCACTAGGGGAGTAGCCAAACAGGTCAGAGGAGTCAAGCCGGGCAAACCGAAGCAGCGGGTTGTCGGAGAAGCTGCGGGACAGGCCTGGGGTTCCCGGGCCTGGAGTCCCTGAGCCTGGAGTCGCCGAACCTGAGAGGTACACACTGAGGCCTGGAGACTGGTTCAAGCTGTACGCCCCCCACCCGCTCCTCCCTATGCCTCCTGGGGAGGAGGCACCAGTAGCAGCTGCTGCAGCAGAGGCAGCGGCAGCAGCAGAGGCAGCGGCAGCAGCAGCTGCAGCGGAAGCAGCAGCATCAGTGGTGGGCTGATTGGGGAGAGCTGCTACCCCAGCAGCAGCATGAGGCCTCAGTTGAATCTGCCCCAGTAGTACCTGTCCCAGTTAAACCTGCCGTAGCCACAGTCGGTGTCGCTGAGAGGAAGGACTGACGGGTTGGCCCAGGAGGGAAGGGCGGGAGGGGAAGGAGCACGTTTCGCAGATACAGAAATTGGCTCCACTGCGGGAGAAATATCTGTTGCTGTTGCTACTGCTACTGCTGCCTCTGCTGCCCCACCTGCTTCTCCTCCTGCCCCTCCTGCCCCAGCTACCCCTGCTGCCCCTGCTGTCTCTGCTGCTCCAGCCATGCCCACCACCACCACCTCTGCTGCCCCTGCTGTACCGCCAGCACCAGTTCCGCCACTGGAATCCATTGCTGTGCGTGTTGACTTTTGAGTCGACTCAAAAGTCAACTCTGCTGCCCCTGCTGTACCGCCAGCGCCAGTTCCGCCACTAGGATCCATTGCTGTGCGTGTAGCTACAGCTGCATCTACTGTGTCTACGGCTGTAGCAGCAGCTGTCTGCAGGAACAGCTGCGCCTATTGCGTCTTCGGCTGTAGCTGTGTCTGTGTCCATAGCTGTAGCAGTGCCTAAAGCGTCTCCGGCTGTAGCAGTGCCTGTAGCGCTGTCATGCGCCATGGGAGCATGCAGCCCAAGGCTCAACCCCGTTCCCTCACTCGAAACCCCGCACATGGCAGGGTTACTATAAATAGCAGGGTTGCCCGTGTGGGCTGGGTTCCCTGTGGTAGCAGCGTCTGGGGCAGAGGCTGCAATGGAAGCCATGCCAGAGATAGCGACGGCAGGAGGAGCAGAGGCAGACGGGACAACAGCGACGGCAGGAGGAGGGACTACAGAAGCAGTGGCGGCAGGGGCGGGGGCGGCAGCCGGGGCAGGGGGTCTAGCAGAGGGGGCAGGGACAACAGCAGCAGGGGCGGCACGGGCAGGAGGGGCAGCAGCGGCAGGGGCAGCAGGGGCAGGAGGGGCAGCAGCGGCAGGAGCGGCAGCGGTCTTGGGCGGAAGGGAAGAGAAGGCAGCGAGGTCACCAAAGAGCTCTGCTGAGTCCATTCTAGAGAACTCCAGAAACACGTCTCCAGACACACGCACCCCCCCAGGCAGAATCTGAATCACTGGTGGCTTCTTCCCTCCCTCCCCACCTCCTCCACCGCCCTTGTCGCCACCACTCCCCCCTCCTCTCCCTCCCTCCCCTCCCTCCCCTCCCTCCCCTCCCTCCCCTCCTCCCACTCCCTTGCCTCCTCCATCCCCCTTTTCCCCAGCCGTAGCTGCCGCCTTATCTGCCTCTCCTGAAGCTATGCCCTCTGCCTGTCCCCCAGCCAGCCCATGGATGGTCACAGAGCCGCCTGCACCAGATCCACCCTCCCCCAGCTTCACCTGCACCTCCCCGTTGACACCGTACTGCTTGCCCCATGCTGCAATGGCGGCCGCCAGGGCGCGGATAGAGATGGATTGAAGGGCGGTGCTCTCGTTGCTGCCGCTCGTGTGCGTGTGTGTAAGGGTGTTGGTGTTGGTGTTGGTGTTGCTCGTGTTTCTTGTGTGCGTCTGCGTCTGCGTCTGTGTCTGCGTGTGGGTGTTGCTGGTGTGCTTGTGTGCGCTGCTGGTAACGGTGTCATCGTTATTGGTGTGGGCGTGGGTGACGGTGCGGGTGCGAGTGTTGCTCACATTGCGGGTGCTGGTGATATCAACCGTGCTGCTGGGGTTGATAGCAGATGCGCCTGCACCAGTCCCACCTGTCCCTGTCGGCCTGTCCACTTGCCCTGACTGCTGCAGCAACACCTGTGCTAGACGCTGCTGCTGATCTTGTTGCTGCTGCTGCTGTAGTGCCTGCTGTTGCTGTTGTTGCTGCTGCTGCTGTAGTGCCTGCTGTTGCTGTTGTTGTTGCTGCTGCTGCAGCTGCTGTTGCTGTTGTTGTTGCTGCTGCTGCAGCTGCTGTTGCTGTTGCTGCTGCTGCTGCTGTTGTGCCTGCTGCTGCTGCTGCTTCTGTGCCTGCTGCTGCTGCTGCTGCTGCTGCAGCTGCTGCTGTAGCTCTTGTTGTCGTTGTTGTTGCTGCTGCTGCTGCTGCTGCTGCTGCTGCTGCTGCTGCTGCTGCTGCTGCTGCTGCTGCTGCTGCTGCTGCTGCTGCTGCTGCTGCTGCTGCTGCTGCTGCTGCTGCTGCTGATGCTGCTGCTGCTGCTGAGCGTTTGGCATCTGGGAAGCACTGAACAGTGCGCGCAACAGCAAGAGTTCAACATCATTCAGTGTCTTCTTGTTTCCTGCACCTGACGCCGCCACCCCACCACCTGAAGCAGCCACCCCACCACACGTAGCAGCTCCACCATTTGAAGCGCCAGCGCCACCACTTGTACCAGCAGCCGCCCCACCAAAAGCAATCCCTGGGCCAACAGCGCCAGCACCGTTCAGCACCGCACTGGACGGTCCAGTACCAGCAGCGCCACCTGCACCAGATACACCTGCACCGGTTGCACCCCCCCTCTGGCCAGCTTCCAACCGCTGCATCTCCTGCTGCACCTGCGCCTGCTGCTGCGCCGTCAGTCCGCCGGAGAGCACCCCTTGCGCCCACTGGGGGGGCGGGGGGGAGGAAATAGACCCAGACGAAGGAAACACGGGGAAGAGGGGGTTGGGCTGCTGCTGCTGCTGCTGCGGCGTTTGCTGCTGCTGCTGCTGCTGCTGCTGCTGCCCTAGATACTGCCCAAGCCCACCGCCTGCCCCACCAGCAGCAGCACCACCTAAACTCGCTCCAGTTGGCCCTACCTTAGCTGAACCTGCACCACCCGCACTCCCTGCAGCAGCTGCAGCTGCTGCGACCGCGAATTCGACAGCCTGGGCCGACACTCCACTGGATTGCTGGGTCAGGGGGTTCTGGGGAAGGTTGTTCTGGGGAAGGGTGTTCTGGGAAAGGTTGCTCTGGGGAAGGGGGTTCTGGGAAAGGTTGCTCTGGGGAAGGGGGTTCTGGGAAAGGTTGTTCTGTTGAAGGGTGTTCTGAGAAAGGTTGCTTTGGGGAAGGGGGTTCTGGGGCAGGGGCTTTTTGATGGATGGGGAGCGCGGAAGGGGGACGGGGAAGCGGCTAGAGGCGGACTCATGCGCGCTGCTGCCCACGGACGAGGCGTGGGGGAAGAGCGGAAGCACGGAGGGGCGGCGGAAATTGCTAGGCGAGGGGAGCGTGATGTTGGGGAAAGGTAGCGCATTGCTGGCGGGAGCTGCTGCTGCTGCTGCTGCTGCTACTGCTGCCGGTGGTGCTGCGGAAAGGGGGCGCATTCCTTGTGCGGCGCTTGAGGTGAGGATGGAAGGAGGAGGTGAGGGGGTCAACGCGTTTACGAACGCTTTGGTCTGCCCTATAGCCGCAGCCATCGGGCTTCTAATCAAGCCGGTACCAGCAGCAGCATTAGAAGCAGTTGCGTTTGGTAAAGCAGTGTTGGGAGCAGCGGCAGCGGCAAGGGCGAGAGAGAGGGCAACGGCAGTTTCAGCGTCAGGAGGAGGCGTGGAGGCTCGGGCCGCAGAGGCCACGGAGAGAAACCGGGCTGCTGCTGCTGCCAGCGCATCACTAGGACTCAACGCCGTAGTCAACGATCCCTGCTGCTGCGATGGCCCCTGCGACTGCGCCTGCGACTGCCCCTGCGACTGGCCCTGCAGCTGCCCCTGCGAGTGCTGCTGCATCAGCTGCTGCAGCTGCCCTTTCCGCACCTGCAGCTGCTCCTGCTCGTGTTGAAGCGCCTCGTACTGCTGCTGCAGTTGCTGCTGCTGCTGCTGCGACTCGAAACTCGACAGGAGGGCGGCTACAGGACCGTTAAGAATAACCGACGCCACGTTTCCCACAGAGCTCGAAGTAGGGAAGGGGCTAGGGGAGGAGATAATACTAGCAGAGCCCTGGCGCGTAGGGGGCTGTATCAGGGGGAAGGCTAGCGCCGACCCCGCGGATCCGGTCGCGGAAAGGGCGGCGGCAACGGCGGAAGGGGGAAGCGGAGGCGCAGGGGGAAATTTTTGCAGCGAGCCAGCTTTGCGCGGGGGAGGTAACGACCGAAGGACATCGTCTAGGGTTTTCCTCGAGGTTGCCGGGTCCGTAACGACGGAGCACGGAATGGGCGGCAGACTGCTGTTTCCCGACGCTTGGGAGCCCTTAATCGCTCCGCCGCCTTTTCCCCCAGTGGGAGAGTCCGGCGCTGTGAAGTTGGTTCGGGTGGTCGCTCCCCGAATCTGCCGCGCAGCCTCGTCGTAGGCTCGGGCCGCTTCTTCCGCCGTGTCAAAGGTTCCGAGCCACTTTCGGATCTTGTGGTTCGTGTCTTTAATCTCCGCGATCCAACGGCCAGAAGCCCTCTGCCTAACTCCCAGGTACCCTCTGTTCTTCCCCTTGTCCTTATCCTTGGGCTGCGGCGCCGAGGCGTTCTTTTCAGGAGTCTTTCCACGTGCCTTTTCAGGTGCTTTTCCAGGCGCGCTGTCTGCCTGATTCCCTCCATTCTGCGTTTTCGACACGTCATTTCCAGGTGCTTCGTCAGGTGCTTCGTCAGGTTCTTCATCAGAGGAACCATCTGAGTACTCCTCCTCCGTTTGCGGAGTCTTCGCTCGCCGCTTATCCTGCGAAGTTGTCGGCGTGTTGTTCGCCGACGCTGTGTTACCCGGCGTGGCTGGGGCCGACGACGCTTTAGCATCGCGTAGCGCAACGCCGGAAGCATCGACGACGTCGCATTTCCTGCGCTTGGACGGGTTCATCCTCTCCCGTTCGCCTTCGCCATCCGCTGTGGCGTCCCCGCAGTCGCCATCACGGGGCATTTTGCCCTGCAAGCCACCGTAAGCCGGCGAAACCCTAAAAGTTCGCAAGCGTCGAACTACGGAACTAGGTATATACGATATCAGCGTTTTTATCCTCGCAAATCCATTGCACGTAGCCTAAAGGCGATGCAAGAACGGCTAACATGGCAAGCTGGCAAGCTAAGTAACAGTATCACAGCATCGGCCTGCTGCTTACCTTGGGAAAAGGCAATTTGTAAACAACCAATCACAAGGTGCCGAGGGTCACGTTCTGGCAGCCACAACCACAGCCACAGAACTATGAAACGAAACGAAACGAAACGGACAGCTGCAAATCAACCCTAGAAAATGATGCAGTCTTCACTAAACTTATTTCTGACGGTCCAGTTTAGTTTTGGTCTGGTCTGGTTCGGTTGGCTGGTTTGGATGTTCAGCTGGAAAGTACAGCTGGCGAAAAGGCGAAGATGGATGCGAATCTCCTGGAGACAGATTTGATCAGGAGGGAGGCGTTGGCGATAGCTTGCAAGGAACAGCTAAGCAGCCGCGTTCGGCTGGGTGGCGAGCGAATCTAGAATTAACCTTTCGTGGGTTGAGCGAGCCATAGGAAAGCAATAACGAGTAGTCCTTTGAGGTGTTCAGTACAGTTCATCGTCCTGATCTAATGACATCAATATCAGCTTTGATGGACAATGCACTCTAGCTTAATTTGTTTTGCAGATCTTGTAAAGAGCTCCACTATTCAAAACCAATTTACATTCCCATTAACAGACATCATCACCACCATCGCCAAATATACCATCACCATCAGCGACCAATCAGCAGCATCGCAAGCATCATCGGTGCTTGGTGATCTTCTCAAGCAGCAGGTCGTATTTGGCGCCTTGCACCTCGTCAATCTGCGCCAGGTTGCGGAAGAGCTTGAACGTCGGCACCGACCGCACTCCAAGGCCCTTCGCCAGAGGCTGCTCACGCAAGACAAGCGGATAGAAACATACATGGCATGTGATCTGGACGACACCTAAAGCCGTCAGAGCCACGATTGAAGGGTCAGAACCATGAAAAGAGTCTGTAAGCAGGGTCCTGTGCTTTTGTTAAGTTGGTCGTGCAAATTAATGTGCATAACAGGCGGACTCAGGTGCCTGTACAGATAGCGGCGGCTCTGGGTTCATCTGGCATAAGTAACCGGGAATGTAGCTGTGTCTTTCTTGCATACAAGGTCAGAACCCCATTGCGCTTAATCTGCTGGTATAAAACTTCAACCTTCAATTCTGAACCTTCTTATTAACTAGTACCAGGACAATCTCACCCCTCCATCCGCAAATTAACAAGCACCACGTCTTACACCCTTCAGTACAGGAACATCCACAGCTTCGTGAACTCCATCCCTCCAGTCACAGTCACACGGCTCACCTTGTTATTCTGGTTGCAGTCCAGCTTGAGGAACACCACGTCCTGCATCTCCTCTGCCAACGCCTCCACCTTGGGCGCCAGCAGCTTGCACGGCCCACACCTGCCGTGCAGCCATCGGGATTTTGGCAGAGCAGGAGAAAAAACACACGTTGGGCCGTGCTCGAACAGCATTCAGTTGAAACCTACAGCGCGTTGTAGGGGCATGGCATTGAGCTTGCTTAGAATTCACTTTGTGTTCGACGGTCGGGAAGAGCGGGAGATTGAACTAACGAGACTGTCGGCCTTTTGAAGAGGGCGACAGTAACGCACCACTGGGTGTACATATCGAGCACGACGAGCTTGTCCGCCGCCGCCGCTTTCTCGAGCTCGGGGTAGAAAGAGTCCTTGTCCACCTCCATCATCCGCGACGTCGCCTGCGCTGCCTCCGCCGTCTGCGCCGCTGCTGCGTCCCCTGCATCCGCCCGCACTCTGCTGGCCTTACTCACAGCCGCTGGAGCGTATTAAGGGGGAAGACATGACAGACGACGGGAAGCGGTGATTTTTACTGATTATGTCAACGATATCGCCGTGCATCGTCATGTACGGGCGACGACGAACGAACATTGGGTGGTACGAATGTTTCTCACGTCGGGCATTCAACTGACCATTTTCACGTTGCTGGAAAACAACGGCGTTTGATTTCAAGCTTCTTGTGCTGCTTGGGAACAGGGACGACGCAACCGTGCTCAATTTTGTCCCGCTCGAGGAGCGCTGCACCAATGCTCCAGTTGAAGCGGTGACAGGAGCCGCAGCCACGACTACCAGTGCCATATCTGCCGGAACGACTAAGGACCTGTCGTAACGCGACGAGGTAAAACCGACGGATAGACGAGGCAAGGACTGGGATGAGAGCACAGCACGAATGCTGAGACAGTCAATTCCACTGACCAGAAAAACGGAATTCAATGGAGCTAGGAGATAGATTGGAGGAGGAAGTCCACACCAGGTGGTGTTCTTTGTAACACAGATTCTGCCACACAAACGAACAGCTGAGGGGCGAGCAGAAAGGATCAGGCAAGGACCTGTAGAAGGCAGACAAGTTGGTGGTCGTCGGGCCAAAACTCCCTGCTGATTGGATGGAGGGTGATTGTCTGGCAGCCAGAGTGTGCCAGCGGAGCCACCAGTGTGGCACAGCCTCGAGATTTGTCAAGGCACTGACGTGGAGTGTCGTCAGAATGTCTCGTGCCGTAACCTGCCAGCCACAAGTCAGGCCGAAGGATAGCAATCGCAGCTGACGTGTACGCATCGACGAGGGCAGAAGGTTTCGAATCTCCTAGGCCAGTGGAAGCCTATCAATGGGTGAACTGGAATTTCAGGACTTACGCAGTGTGCTGTTTACAGAAATTGGTGCGTTATAAGATATCCTTCAACCCTGCTCTGACAGCCCTGAAGTGAAGCTGGCATGTTAGTCTCGGAATTTGGTGTAATCCCTAAGTGTTACACGCCGCACTGTCAAATCTCCCAACCACGCAATAAGCCACACGAACGCTTCATATCGCGTGAAATCCATTTGTAGGCTCAAATCGCCCCTACCATGTTGAAGCCATTTTGCTCGAGACTCCTCTTGCCATCATGAACCATAATGGCCAGTCGCGGCGCGAGTAGTTCATCCTCAGCAACGAGCCCGTAGTTATCGCCAGGAAGGACCCACGTCGGCCTCCCCTCGCCTGCCTGCTCATGGCAGCTGCAGAAGCCGCATCGTATCTCATCAGTCTCACCCTCTCCCCCGATCAAGCCAACCATTGCCTATCCCGTTGCCCGCGCCTCGCCGAGCCGAGTACCCTCAACAATCAGCGGGAAGTCGTCGCATTTCTCTTAGACGACCTACATTTCTCCGCCAAGGCCCTTCCGCCGCTCCTCCGCCGCTGCCCGCAGCTCCTCGCGTACAGCGTCCCCGAAAAGCTCCGCCCAGCCGCGGAGTGCCTCCGCGGAGTGGGGTTCTCCGCGCGGGACCTCCGCCGCGCGATCGCGCATTTTCCCGGGATCCTCGTGCGCAGCATCGAGGAGAAGCTCTGCCCGCTGCTCGCGCTCCTGCAGCACCTCGATATTGCCGAGGAAAAATGCCGACGCGTGATTCTCGCCTGCCCGCGGCTCGTCAGCTACAGCATCGACGACAAAATGCGGCCGCTCGTTCTCTTCTTCCAATCCCACCTGCC